TTCTTGCGCACCTTATCGGCCCTTATCAATCGTTATCAGTTTCTGGCACCCACCAACAATGTCCCCGTCCCACCCCACATAACACTTGTAAGTATGGTTGCTCTGGTGTCAACGCGAGCCAGGCAACGGAATCGACGACTTTTGCGTTCTAGCGCATCTTATCAGCCCTTATCAATCGTTATCAGTTTCTGGCACCCACCAACAATGTCCCCGTCCCACCCCACATAACACTTGTAAGGTATGGTTGCTGTGGTGTCAAGGCGAGCCAGGCAACGGAATCGACGACTTCAGCGTTTCTGGCGCGCCAGGGCCTTTCGGCTTTATCAATCGTTTATCAGTTTTTGACAAACAACAATGTGTGCACCCAAACGTACACTTGTAACGTATGCGCCTTGCTCTGGTGTCAACGCGAGCCAGGCAACGGAATCGACGACTTCAGCGTTCTGGCGCGCCTTATCGGCCCTTATCAATCGTTATCAGTTTCTGGCACCCACCAACAATGTCCCCGTCCCACCCCACATAACACTTGTAAGTATGGTTGCTCTGGTGTCAACGCGATCAGGCAACGGAAAAATCCGCGGGGGGGGCGGGGGAACGATTTTGCGTTTGCTAGGCACAACTTATCAGCCCTTATCAATCGTTATCATTTTCTGGCACCCACCAACAATGTCCCCGTCCCACCCCACATAACATTTCTGAGTATGGTTGCTCTGGTGTCAACGCGAGCCAGGCAACGGAATCGACGACTTCAGCGTTATGGCGCGCCTTATCGGCCCTCTTATTTTAAAAGAAAATCCAAATCGTTATCAGTTTCTGGCACCCACCAACAATGTCCCCGTCCCACCCACATAACACTTGTAAGTATGGTTGCTCTGGTGTCAAGGCGAGCCAGGTAACGGAATCAACGACTTTTGCGTTCTAGCGCATCTTATCAGCCCTTATCAATCGTTATCAGTTTCTGGCACCCACCAACAATGTCCCCGTCCCACCCCACATAACACTTGTAAGTATGGTTGCTCTGGTGTCAACGCGAGCCAGGCAACGGAATCGACGACTTTTGCGTTCTAGCGCATCTTATCAGCCAATTATCAGTTGCTATCGCTTCCAATCATGTTATCCAGCAATGTCCGGGACGCTCAATAAAATATAGGTGTGGAGTATAGACGCTCTTTTACCAATATGAACGGCAAAACGAAATTGGCGATGCTCGCTTTCTAGCCCCTCTTATCAGCTATTATCAGTCGTTATCAGTTCCTATCACGTACCACTTGTGTCCCCATCCCACCCCCTATAACATATGTAAGAACCACTGCGCTATCGTTACTGTGACTCGAGCTATGAATTTCCGGTCAAACACACACACACACCAACAGACACACGCTAGCCGCTTATATATAGTAGGATAGTTAGGATTTTTATCCATGTTTACCGGATGGTGGAGGATTCGTGAGAACGGGGAAGGAACTAGGGGCTTTGCGGGGTAATGGATAAAAGCGGGATGGCTCGAAAATTGGATGAAGTAGCGAGGTTGACTTCGGACCTCTAGCTAAATGTTCCACAATTAATAGAGATCTTTATTTGTCAGCTTTAGCATCGGGGAATGTAATAACGAAACAATCGACCTATATAATATAAAACGCTGTGTGCCTGTGTGTGGTGTGTGTGTGTGTGTGTGTGTGTGTGTGTGTGTGTGTGTGTGTGTGTGTGTGTGTGTGTGTGTGTGTGTGTGTGTGTGTGTGTGTGTGTGTGTGTGTGTGTGTGTGTGTGTGTGTGTGTGTGTGTGTGTGTGTCACGAAATTCATAGCACGCGTCGCAGCAGTCGTTAGGAGCTGATTTTTTGATATGATATAGGGGGTGGGACGGAACATATTTGGTGGGGAGTCACACAAGTGATAACGACTGATAAGAGCAGATAAGAGGCGCTGAAACACAAATTTCACGAAATTCGATTGGTGCGCTTCGCTCAGGTCATCGCAGGAAGTGATTTGGGAATGTATGTAAGGTTTGGTGTGACTGGGAACATATTTGGTGGGGGTCACCAAGTGATAACGACTGATAAGAGCAGATAAGAGGCGCTGAAACACAATTTCACGAAATTCATAGTGCGCTTCGCAGCAGTCGTCAGGAGCTGATTTTGGGACATGATATAGGGAGGTGGGACGGAAACATATTTGGTGGGGGGGTCAAAAGTTGATAACGACTGATGAGGACTGATAGTAACGATATGCGTACGAGCGTAGAGATCACTTGAAACCAGATTGTAGATAATGCATTTTATCTCTATGTCATTTCATTAGCGTTGTAATTGTAAACTCAAACACCTTTCGACCGCTACACCTTCTGAGTTCTTGAGGATGAATGGGATGCTCGAATAAATACGATAATGAATACTGGGCATTCCGTTTTGAGATTATATTCGACCGCTAAATTACCTCGATACTCGATGCATGGTGGTTGTTTACATACATCACTTTAGCTGTGCACTTCACTGCGCTTATCAAACAGTGAGATACAGCCAAGATGGGCAACGGACAGTAATGCATTTAACGAAGCAGCTATAAGTTTAGCGGTGAAACCCTAAAGCTTCACCGATTGTCAGTTCTATCAATGCGCGCGGTAGCGGGCGGAGCTAAACTGGTAATATAATACAGTAGAGTGGTTTTCGATATTCTTGTGAAGGAATCCAGCAGATCAAGAAAAAAAATTGTTTTCAAATATTTTAGCAGTGTGTTCAGAATTGAAAAAGCTTACCACGAAAGGATGATGGGTCGTGGTAGTCATGAAGCCAAGACTACTGGATGTGCTTTTGGACGGAATCTGTTTTCCAAATCTGGCAATCGATTTTGACGGAATATGAAGCAAAATAGAGCAGGTAGCAGTCGGCCCATAGGCGAGGTCAGGTAGGTTCGTCACGTTCGTACTTTTCAATAAGTTTGCGCCCCCCTCCCCCACCATCAGTTTTAGAAGGCTTCCGCAATACGATCCCACTTCCCCCTTCTCCGACCAACACCATCCTCATCATGGCTGTTTGTATTTTGATTTTGAGATCAGTCGACGCAGCTCCACCCACTTTGCCCTCCAAAACAGTCGTCGAGCGTGGGAGAGGGGTGGAGAGAGAGGGAATAAATTAAAAGAATAAAAGCAGCAAATCAGGTGATTTCTAATTCTCACTATTTTGGTGGAACTTTCATACGTCAAAACAACCCCTTTTAACAACCTCCATTCCCTCTATGATAACCTTGCTCAACCACAGAATGCGACCTCCACCTTCCCAAAATCAAAAATGCGACACCCTCGTTCGAACAGCGCGTACGGTCGGGCTGACCCTCGTTGTAGGATCGATTCCCTGATTTCTTCTCTTTGATTTCCCGATTTCTTTTGCCCTTGCTGCAACATGGGAAAAGCTGGGAAAGGCTCCCATTTACATCGATCAATGCTTGCCTACACTTACCCGTACAGAGTTTGCGAAGAATTCGCAACAAGTTTGGGCGCTACTTGCAAATGACTGCACTTGAAACCCGCAGAAATCTTGACAGACGTTTTTGCAGCAGACTGGTGTGATATTCGTGTAGTGGAAATAAATAGTCCTAGCGGCAATTGTAGCCGAATCACCCGTCAGGGAATCGATTTTAGGACCTCTCCTTCGTGGCCCGGACCACTACTGCTGCTCTATCTTGCTTCATAACTCCACTCAAAAAACCGATTAGCAGATTTGGAAAGCAAATTTGTGATCAGCGTCTAAGAATCCACCCAGTGTGCGTCTCGTGCATGCGACACACTTCCACCGATCATTATTTCCTGGTTAGGTCTCCAAGCTGCAATGAGCTCATCCTACAATTCGTTCCAAAGAGTTGTGGGTACCATTGCTCCTCAGCGGCCACTATCTAAACCATGAATTCCCTCAAGCAGGCCAAATTAGAGCTCTACTTCTCGAATTCTGGAAATTTCTCTTCACTGCGGCATCACCTCGCGCTTATGCTTTCATACGAGCCACGACAAAATGGCGTACCCGCTGTACTCAAAATGAGGCAAACATAGCAATGATTTGCAACATAATTCGAAAAGAGAACCGCAAGTCCCTTACAACTTTCTTAGAGCGGCCGATACCGTAGAAAAAACTCTCTGTTATCTAATCACTCGCCGCGTGTAGACCTGCTGCGAGTGGTTAGACAGTTGGTGGGCGTGTCGCGCCAGCAATGCGCCAAGAGTGAGCCATGCTAGATCGCCGAGGTCAAATCTTTCGCTGCAAATTGCGTGTCAGTCCGCACCCTCACGGACGATCTGCCCTATCTCCCCGCTAGGCAATTTTCCCCTTCTTCGACCTTCGTTCTTATCGTGAAAACCTCCTCTAATCGTCTGCCTCGCAGAGGTTCTAATATGCAAAACGAATTCGGAAGGCAATATACTATACGGAATACTGGTTTCAAGCTGATCAAACCTCTTTGAAGTCTGCCACAAAAATAGGGTTTCAAACTCACATAACTACTCCCTGAAGATTAGCAATTACTCATAAGGCTTTCGGCGATCATATGGAGAAATTTTTTCGTTTTCTCTTTTATTGACATCTTATCATTTTCAGGCATATGAGGAAACATCTACTGCTTAAACAATTAACAGAAAAGAAAAACATCAGATTCACATATCACTTGGCGCTTCGATCACAAGGGTCAATTCATTCTCGTAGAACAAAGAAAACAACGAGAAGAAAGTACCCGCAAACAAGATAACGGTCACACTGAGTAAAACAGATTGGTCAATGGCATAGGAGACACATTAAATCTGATATTTAAAGAGGGCACTAAAGAAAATTCAATAACTCTACACAGTATTTAAACAACGGAAGATGATCCAATAAAGTGGCACATGATCACTAGAGATCATTATTTGAACCAGAATATGAAAGGGCACATAATCAGAGAGCAATGGCTACGATTGAAAAAAATGATGAAATGGCCAAAAACCCGGAGCTGATGTTAATTTAATCATGAACAGCTTAAATATTACAGGTTTCCGTTCTGAGTGGTTGCAGTGGACTCATCCCCATTCATGCGCTCTTCCCTCATTCGCTTGCTTTGCTCACGCGATACCTGCAGGGTGAAAAAAAAACGCATGAGATTTGTCCCGTGTTACAAAAACAGTGAAAAATAAACAAACAAACGAATATAAAAATATGTAAACCAAATAAGAACAAATGGAAGTTTGGTTAAGAAGAGCTGTGCGATGCAATCTTCCTTAATTTTTTTGTAGTGCCAATATTTCTGGTGTGGGATCAGTGATAAAAGAGCTAGCTTGGCGAATTCAAATAGCAGTTGTGATTTCGAATTAGCGAATTTTGAACTACGCTGTGACTCCACGCCTATGCATGCCCTTCACTGCTTCAGCTGATCCTGATTCAGGCTGGAATTTGTCGAGGAATTTTGGCAGCTAATATCCACTACTCTCCCGTGTTGAGGAAGCACAAAGGCAGCTTACGACGTTGGTCTACCCTGTCCTACGGGGTAAAATAGGCGCGGAAGTGATGTCTTTGATACTTTGGCAAAAAAATTTCGTAGAAAACTTGAAGGTATTTTGGGCAAGCGAAGTGTTTGCATGTGTCGACAAATCTGTGATATTGACCAAGCCATGTCTAACATCTGCGTGCACAATTCCCAAAAGTGTCAGTACTGCAAAAGTACCCACATTATTTCAAAGACAATGTGGATCAAGTGGATCACCGTAACTGCCCATCTCTCTCACGGCAGTTGACCCCTACCTGTACATCCTATCTAGCAAATAGTATCGCAGACTACTTCTACAACAGGCTCGGATCCAAGAAGTTTCAGGATCAAAGCCGGCTTCCCCCTCATTGCAAGATTTCATCGAAGCTGCAACCAATTGCATGTGGATTTTGGTAATAGGTCAAAAAGTGCTAGTCGCTGCGGCGTGATGATAAGAAAGGATCGATAAACAGAAGCTCCATAGGTGAGCTTCCTATCGTGAGTTCTTTCATTGTAAGCGTGATGAACAACTCACCGCAGCTAATTTCATCTGTAACTCCAAAAATATAGGCATGGCCGATGCATCGTTGCTGAGGATGTAGCTTCGCACAGTTTCAAGAGCAGATGAAAGCTGTAACGGAATGATTAACACAGCGAACTTGATGTTGCGGAAACTTCACAGGAGAGCGCGATTATATGCTTAAGGATTCCCGCTGATTATAAGAAGTTCATCGAAGGCAACCAACTATGTATACTCGATATCGGTGAGTTGGGGTGGGCGTGTCACCGGAAGTGACGTGCACTTGATAGAAACTATGTGGATAAGCTGCTTCCAACATACATCGCTGGATATCAGCAAAGCATGCTGGCAACAGCTTATCCGCACTTCTATCAAGTGCACGTCACTTCCGGTGACACACGCCCCCCACCCCAAACTCTGGATATCGACTGTACAGGGGTGGCCAAAAAAAAAGAGACATTGCGATCGCTCTCACATCAGATCGGTATGAGCACACTTTGTACTTCAAATCGATGTTCGACTAAGCGCCCTAACTGTTATTATTAATGGAAGAGCACATTCTAATCTATCTAAACCTTACATGATAGCCTTCTACACCGACGACATCAGAAGATTTTCCCACGGAAACATGGTTCACAGTATGAGCTCAACGAGGTCGACGAGGTACCATAGACCATTACGACGTTTCTGAAAACGCTGGTCAAAAGCGGTTTTGCACAGTCCACAAGCTAATGTCTCTAGAAGCTATTCAGCAGTTTATCTATTGGAGAAATCCCCGAGTCGCCAGTGCAAGCTTTTAGGGGAGCGGGGAGCCGGAGCGATTACGGTAAGCCTCGTTGAGCTCGACGGTGGCGGCAGATGACGTCATATTCTGAAGACGGCGGGGACAGTGAAGGAGGGCCTGCTTCTGTTTACGGGGAACACCTAAGGAATATTTTCGCCGTAAAACTTTCATTAACATCGGCACCCTGTGCGACGAAAAGTTCGATGATGTGCGCCATGGGCAAAGTGTCTCTTTTTTTTGGCCACCCCTGTATATGCGCATTTTGCCAAATGGCAGGTTTATAAGTCAGGCAAAAATAACCACTGCGACATCACCCGAGCTACAAGGGGTAAGCCTAAGGTCAAGACCAGGTTTGGGTAAATAATGACACATTTTCTTACGCTTAACCCTAAAGTTGGGCTAAAGTTTGTTACAAGCGAATCAGAGGTCTCCTAACTAGTGAACCCTACCTAACGCCAGAGAACCTGAAAGATACAGGCTATAAGAGTGAATTTATGGAAATGAACTTACCGAATAAAAACTTAGGAATGTGGGACCAAGAGGGACCCGTACACCTTGAAGGAAAGCGCAACGAGGAAAAGTGTCTACTTGAAAAAAATGCTGGGAAAAATTCGCGAAGCGACTTATTGTTAGAAGGAGTGAAAAGTAGCAGATAGAAAACGAAGACAAAGTAAGGTGTTTTCATCACCATTGAACTGATAATGCCTCCATCGACTACTCGTAGATGTAATGAAAAGTCATGTGAAGATGAATTAAGGATCGCACAAGAGAACAATGAGGAGGAAAAAGCGACATGTTCGCTAAGAGTGCACAGTGAAGGGAATGGAAATGATTTATGAGAAAAGTGGGCGAAATGTTTTTGAGAGTGAAATAGATGGAGTGAACCAAGCAGATGGACAGCTGGTTGCTTACGATCTCGTTAAATTAGCAAAATACCTGACTTTTGTTTATCATCACTCCACTATAGCGCATAAGCACACAGGAAAGATCATCGAGAACATCTAGAAGCAAATTGTGTGAAGCTCACAAACCTCTTTGTCGTATACACGAATCGCTGCACTCTTCACCACGGCAGCAATGAAACCTTTCTCGTCGGACGCCTAAAAGATTTACGCCGTAAGCGTGTAGAAGGTGAATGAAGGTTTAACAAAATACCAGTGTCGGAGAGAGTTGCTGCATTCTGGCTGGCGAGACCCGCGAACTAGGCATCCCATTCACACAAGTATTGATCTGGCCATCTGTAAAAATTCTAAACATTTTGACATCTTCGATTTTCCGCTGTTACGATAAATTGGATGGAAGAAAGGGACGTATGCCCACTACAAACGGACGACGAGCCCCACTGGCGAATAGAGACGCGTAAATACCACAGCGAAATGCGTGCCCATCGTTACGTAGCTAGCCCTAACCCTAGCAAGCCCCACTTGCCGTGACACGCCTGCCTTCAAGTATGTAGAGGATTGATATGAACGGTGATTCTGTTATCGCCGTACATTGCTCTTCATGGCATTTCATGTTACCTATTATGTTGGCCGTACCTTTGAGTTTCTCGGTAATGTATTATCAGTGAAAGGATGATGCTTGTTGGCTTGATACCGGCTATCGGGATCAACACGTACAAGCGAGCTCGGCTTGGTCAGTGGTTCGCCCAGAGCGGAAATTAAAGGATAGAAGGGACCCATTCCGCGAGTTTTAGCCAATTTTTCTCGAATTTTTCTTAACCAGTGTACGCTACCACCACTACTTCCATTATGAGTAGCGGGGAGCAATGCCAACCGATACAACAAAAACTTGGCTGGGAATGTACTCCGAAAATTCGTGGGTGATTATACAGTTCATATTATCCAGATTAGTCCCCCGTCAACCGCCGGGACCTTTCCGCTATGGTGCGCAAGCTTGTGTATACCAACACCTCTGGAAGTGACGCGTATGCAACACAATGGTGTTTCATACAGTAGAAGGGACACAATCATGATATGACGGTAGATTTTTCGCTTCCCTTCCTCATCCTCCCTTCCTCTCTCCACTGCCCTCCAGCTGCCACTGCAGCACCATGTGGAATGAACGGAAGTGTGCTAAGCAGGTCAATAATAATAAGGCCAAGTTGGTACAGGCGACGAACCCCGAAGAACCGGGAGTGATGGCAAAGAAGTATGAAGAGATAACAAGACCGTCCGAATGTGTGCTAAGCAGGTGTTTATATAGCCCTAAGAGTGTTATCACAACTATCCTGCTACAAAACATTGATATCTCAAATCCTGTAAGCTACCCGATTTGTTAGCGGTTTGTTTATCCCATGAGCTTCCTTCTCACTCACTTCATTTTGCGGACGGACACACATACATACATACATACACACACACGCACTCACACACACACATACAGATACACAAACCGACACACAAAGTTAGCGCTTTATATAATAGAAGGATTATTTGACAAAAGCAATAGTTCTGAAACACTTTCGCCCATTTTGATATTTAGGTTATGTTTTTGTGATAAAATCCTGACCAGCAATGATATGACATTGAGTCATACACCGACTTTTCTTCAACGCTTCAGAGAATGTTTCTCGAGGCTCTTTTACAAAAACTAAGAAGTTGTGGATCCGAAAAAGAGCGACCTCACTTTTCAGTTAGAGTGAATGTCCTTACACCAGTGATACTTAAGGTCCGGGTACGGTGCGACCATTTACAGCTCGGACCCAGGGGGATACGTGAGTAGAAATCTTGCGAGCTTCCAGGCATTCTTAGCGGGCTTCTATTTTGGTTCAGGGTGATTAGCAATTTATGTATAAGAAATAAACATCGCGTACTGAGGCTCCTGCGAGCTCGTTGCTGCCTTCACTAGGATGGCTGGTGAAGAAGCTCTTGGAGGCGGGCGTCACTGAGATATCCTGGCTATGCGACGACGTCGCCTTGATAGCGGATAGTAGAGAGGAACTTCAAGCCAAGGTGCAGAAATGGCAGAAGGTCCTGGCAGAAGGTGGGCTACGGCTGAATGTCAAGAAGACCAAGTTCCTGAGCTCCGAAGAGGGTGCAGAGCCGATCGTGGACGGCCATGGTGAGACCATCGAAAGGGTGGAGGACTTCCGATACCTTGGGAGTGATCTGGCAGCCGACGGTAGTGTGGATCAGGCGGTGAAGGCTCGGGTCAACGCTGCATGGATGAAATGGAGGGAGTCCACTGGAATCCTCTGCGATCGAAGGTGCTCCAGAGCGCTCAAGGGAAGGTGTACCGGACAGTGGTAAGGCCTGCGATGCTCTACGGCAGCGAGTGCTGGCCCTGAACAAGAATCACGAAAGGCAGCTTCACTCGCTGAAATGAGGATGCTGAGATGGGCCTGCGGCTGGACGCGGCTGGACAGGGTCAGAAACGAGGATGTCAGAGCGGTCATGCAGACTGCCCCTGTCCAGCTGAAGGTACGGGAACAGCGTCTGCGATGGTATGGGCATGTGCTAAGGAGGCCACAGGATCATCCGATAAGAACAGCGATGGACTTCGAAGTGCAAGGCAAGCGACCGCGAGGAGCCCCAAAGAAGAGGTGGAGAGACGTGATCAAGAAGGACCTAAGTGAAGTCATGGCCACAGCAGAAGATGCCCTGGACAGAGCAAAGTGGCGACGACTGACAAAGACAGCGGACCCTGCGACTGCGCGGGACTAACGCTAGGGAGAAGAAGAGACGGTGAACGGCATGCCTATTGAAGCTATTGCAGATAGTGTCAGTCGTTGACACGAATCCATAGTTATGGAGACATTTGTACTAGACAGTGACTCGGAGTACGGATTTACTAGTGGTCGAGGTTTTTTGAATTTTCTTGGATAACTACTGACTGCAGCACTTATATCCACCTCGTGGATTGAAGCCTCGAGAATGCTCTACCATTTGTTAGTCATAAATGTTACCTATGAATTTCAGAAAAAAAATTCAGAAAGAATGTTGCAGAACTTTCTTTCCAACCTAACATTATTTCCCCCACACCCAGCCTGGAGACATGAAAACTTTTGCGATTTATCGAGCCATCAATGCCTGCATTTTAGGCACACCATCTGAATGGGCTCGAAGGTGAAGACGCCGCAATTACACAAAGTGATCCCGTAGGAAGTGAGAAAGTTTCAGCAAGTGACTCATTAATGTAGCCGCTGAAATTCAACAAGATGTCTAGCAAGTTAGGGCAGATTTTGGCGGCGTAGCGGTACCTCCTTTGCAGGCACAGCATGGGCCCGATTCTTTGGATCGAATTCCGATAAAGCTAGCCAAGCCTTTGAACCTCAGTAGATGGGTACTGGAATCTAACCTTGGACAGCAAAAAGGTCACTTGTACATACATAGGCCCTGCGAGATAAGTGCGCGATGGAATCCCCCTCGACGTTGAATAAAATACAGCGCCTGAATAAAGGTCGCGTGCATCAAAAGGGATAGATCAACGTGGAATTTTTATCATTTAATTTATTGAAGCGTTGAGTTAGAGAGTGAGTCCAGAGAGTCTAAACCGTCATCTTTCATTACAACTCAAGAAACTTATAATAGCAGAGGCATCATTGAAAATTCAAGTACCTGCACTCGCAGTTTCATTTCTTCCAAAAAGGTTATTCAAATCAAGAGGCTTAGTGTTTGCAATGCTGACAACGGCAACAGGAGGCGCACTTGGTTTTGGTGGAGCGACCGCTTTCTCAACGCAGTCCAGCAACGCTGCTGTTGTTCCTGCAACACTTATTTTAACCCCATTGCAGCCTGATCGCGAAAATGAGTTTTTGTTCAAAGCCAGTGACCACAATGGATGGAGGTCGGTGCGGCTATGATGAAGCCACTAAACGTTGCTGGTAGACTCAACCGCTTAGCGTGCTGAGGGATGTGGCTAGAACCGACTCTCAACACTCCACCAATTATCCAGTGACGCCACCAAGAACCGCACCACCCTCCAGCCATGGTGATCACTGCCTTCAAGAAAATCTGTGCAGATCAGGTAAGATGCGGAATTGGTATAACAGTCGAAGGAACCTTGTATTGCATGTCAGTCATTTGTGAGAGCGCTGTGAGCATGGCTAAGACTTACCCGCCGTGTCGTACTTCTCCCATCCTCTGTTCAAAATGAGGTGGTCAACCGGCGACAAACTTGTTTGAAAAGACTTCCAAATCACCAGTTTCACAGCTCTGCCCTAATCTATCGCATTAGGTCAAGTG